AGATTTTTTCGAAAAGCTAGGTACAAAGTCTGTGATAGCCTCTATTCGACTATCTGACTTCAGTTAATCTCATCTCAATCCCCTTAAAAAAAGGACATCAAAATGTGGTAAAATTGATGTTTATGGTAGAAATCCTTGCTGCAGCACCATTGGCTCCTAACGACAGAGTACTTTCAGGATGACAGAATAGCTTTTTTCGCTTTTTCATCCACTTGAAAGTTCACTTATTGCTAAGATAACCGGGAACGCTGAGTGTGATGGAAATCCTGACTACATCAAACCCTGTCAGTGGTTGGTTTTTGACAGCTTCAATACCTTATATTGCAGAAAGAGTGATAACAGAACAACCGACGTGATGTGATGGAGCGCGCAATAATATTATGGGTGAAACGCAAATTTATATCCAGTCTGCGGTTCGCAATTAGTCAACAGCTCCGATAGTTAACATCACAGAACGATTGCTAGGAGAGCAATGGCCTTGGTAGAGTTGTAATCAGCACGTGCTTCCCGTAAGGGTGAAGCGAGCAAACTACCTTCTGAGGTTCAAAGCTTTGATTTTGTCTCAGAATTTCTGTGAATATAGTCACATCATCATGACACTGCTACGAATGCAGTGGAATGAAGAATTAGTGAGAACTGTTGCCATTCTCTTTCACGAGATCCAGAAGAACAAATAGAAGGTTTGATTAGAAAAACAAAATCAGAGTCGGCATTACTTTGTGAATTTCCTATGAAGAAAAAATACTATTTATGGGTATAGGTCTTAAGCTCTCTCAAAGGTGAGGCTAAGTGGCGTCTTTAAAAAGTGGACAGGTGATGAGCACATATCAAACTCCATTCAGCTACCGATTTAGTTGGCGTATTTCGGGTCTCTCCTAAGTTGGGGGGACTCGTAAATTCCTGCAATGCAAGACATGTATTCTGATTCATATGGAAGTGCACACGAGTATGTTCAATTTTAAAAATCTGTCAGTCCAACACCGTACACGCTTATATGTTCGAAATCTGAAATCAAGTGACTGCGAAGTATCACATTGTAGGTTTTTGGTGGTGATATTGTTGGTCTTTCAAAAACGCGACTGAATGCCAACTAAGGAGGATTGTCGAATTCTAAGTAATTGTCGTACACACCGATCATTAGTGGTCTGAGTTCGATTTTCTGGGTCTGGTCGCAGTAAAATCGTCAAGTGTTGACCATGGAGATGTTCGCGATTTTTGGAACACCTGTCTGTGGAGTGATGGCGGAGCCGTGGGCCGTTGCAACTCTCTGACTGCTTTTTTGTCCATTCACCTAAGCACTATTACGCCACTAGCTCTGCATCGCTTTCCACTCATCCTTGCGCATTCATAAAATGGGGTAATGAAAACATGGGTGGCTCCAGTAATCATTCACTTCGTGCAGTGTCACCACACTCATATGGAGTGACAGGCAAATCACTTTCTTCGACTCATCAATCGTACTATTTCTCCACTCCTCGTTTTCCTGCTGGCCATAGATATCGTCTGCTTTACAGCCAATTTGCGAGTTCATCGGAAGTGACTGGCTCGTTGCAGTAATGCAGGGTGATGCTTTTAAGGCCCGACCCCTAGTTCGCTGAAGTGGTGGGGAAGGGTTATTGGGCGACACCACATATACGCGACGCACAAGAAATTGCTCATGATGATACTAGTCAATGATGAATTGCATCGCAGAGAGGTGGCTGAGTAGGACTCCGGTGTACTAATAGATGGCGGAACCATGTCTGAAGTTGTTCTTTTCGAAGTTATCAGAGAAATGGAAACCGAACGAGGCACAGGAAATCATGAAGCTGACATTCGACTTAGAAAAACTGCATAGAGCATGTAAAATCAGTACGTCTGAGCTCATTGTGCAGAATAAACAGAAAATAATAATCTGGTACCCTTAAACGATAGAACAAGTTTTTTATACGATATAACAAAGCTTTCAACTTTTTAAGTACACCATCAATCATAAAATTAGCGAAAGTTCGCATTAAAGGGGGATCGCTTGCAGAGCGCAAAACCATTTTTGACAAAACATTCATTGCGTCGTGATTTTTGATCAGTATGATAAATTTTGCGTATTATATGCATTAAGAATATAGAAATGGAAAGAGTGAAAGATAATTGTAATAAAAATGTAGATAAGTATATGTAAAATACCATAGAACTGAGATTGATAAACGTTTTTGATATAACCTTTTTGTGAATACTTAATTTTCCCCTCCAGAAGTGCAAGCATTTGCGCGGTTTTTCAAAACAATATAGCCAGATAGCATATTTTCAGCGTTCTATGAGAACTGTCATGGCTATTCTAGAGTGCAATACACGTGTTTCGATCTTCCAGCCAGTGTACAACATTGCCCGTTCGGTGGCTTTATCAATTAACTCTCCTCCTCATGAAATGACTGAACGAAAACGCACCGGGCGATTGACGAACTTGTAAGGCCGAAACACGTGTAATGTATTGCATAAATGCCCATAAAGGACCACATGCATGGCTGAGAAATAGCCATCAGGCATAATAAAAAATTTGAGCGTGGTCTCAAGAAAAATTTGAAACAGAAGAAATGATATTTCACGATCACCACCTAAGAGAAATCGAGTGCACAACACTGGCCGTTCAGTGATTTTTTCACTGTCGGCGCGTGTAGAACGTTCGTCGTCGATTCCTCTATGTGAGAGTAGGTACCAGAGGAAGTAACTGAACAAAAAGGCATCGTGCACCTGACGAGGCTGCAAGGCCGGTATCACGTGTATTGCACTGTATAAGCGCCCATAATAGACCACATGCATGGTTCAAAGATAACTATCAGGCAAAACTTGCTTATATTGATATTAACTTCGTAATACCACAAAAACCGTTGTGAAGTTGAAACAGTTTTCTTCAATTGCAAGACGTTAATTGTTCTTGAAAGAACATACTTTGAAGTTCTACTCACAAACGCAGCCCATCATTGAAATCAGGATTTTTTGGCTATCGAATGAATGCAAAACTTATATGGAATAAGAAAAATTTTTTTAATGGCACTTGGAAACATATTCCACTTTGAAATTATGTCGTTTTCTCATGGAAAGATATGGAATTTTTCATATATCAATGGCTATATGCCGTGACGGTGATATATGGTGTGATGCCATAACTATATGTCAATAGTCGATGAATGGTATGCAAAGCTTGAAAGTCAGGCGGGAGTTAAATCTGCGTTACACTCGTACCCGGGCAGGAAAAGAGGGGAGGAGAAGGCGAGCCGTCAAGAACCTGCCGATGCCGTTGGTCTCCTATCACTTTTTCTGATATTGATGTTGTCAGCTACCAACCGTTGAAGTAAAATAAAAAAAAACTCCTGCAAATTATGTATATCCAACAGCTGCCGGCTTGACTAGGTTCAATACCATTTTTTTTGTTCTTACTAGAGTAGACCAGTTCGTGCTTGCTGCTGACAGCTCCAATATCTATTGCAGGTTCAAAGCTATGCTACAATTCAATATTCTCGGATGCATGTTTAGTGTATGTATAGAGTTATATATGCATTATATATACATACATGTACTGCATATATATATGTATATGTATTGCAGGCCATTTGTAACTGTGACATTTTCGCCATTTCAGTACTAGTAAACTCATTAGTGCACAAGGCAAATCTCTCGAAAGATAGTAACGAGCGAAAATTCTAAAAAATCACATGAATCAACAAAAATGATCCATTAAAAGCTGAATCTTTAAGTAGAATAAAAGTGAGCATTTTAAGCAGTGACATAGAACGAAATTAATAGAAAAAACTCCATAATAAAACAGCAAGATTTATTGAAGAGTTTATATAATCAATAAAAAATCCATAATAAAACAGCGAAATTTACTATGGAGAAAGTGAACAAGGAACAGACGTGCTCTCACAGTGCTCATGAGTTAGTCCTGTAACAGATCGCATGTCTCGGTTAGATCACTTTGCGAAGCGGTTACTTTCTCTGAGACGACTTCAGATGAGAATTCGCGAGTTGAAGATAAGCAGTCCAGCAAGCTACCTTTTGAATTTTCTTCCTTTGTTTCACTATACTGATCCTCGAACTGATTATCGTTGAATACATCCGTCTCTGCTGATTTTTGCTGTCTAGAATTTTCGACAGAGCTTTGGTACTGTTCCTTTTGAAGGTCTTCCGTGTACTGATCGCTTAAACTAAGCGGCTCTTTTACCTCATCGTGTCTCACTATATTCGAATTTGCATTTAGAGGTGTAACTAGCACTTGACGATCGACTACATTAGGTCTTAAGAAGATATTCTGAGATTGCCTTGTAAAACTAAACAGGTAGTTCACCTCTGACGGACTTGGCTGCCGTTCTAAATTGATTGCACTGAACACGATTCTTTCAGCTGTGTACCTCATTATCATCGGATTTTCAGTGCTGCAATGAATGTCGGACGAAGTGAATATTGATAAGGAGTGCGTGTAAGTAGTATTCGATGGAACGAAGACATTCTGTGCCGCAGCTAATTGCGGCTCATCATTGATAAATGGTTCCACTATATTGTTCTGAGTAATCGCAGCTTTTGAGGATGACGTACCATCTTGACAACGACTAGTTACTACTTTTTGAGATTTCCCAAAGTCCGTCGATTTGCTTCTAGCGTCCACCTCGCACTGGTTGCAACGTGAGGGACGATATTGTGGACCTATTGTGTCACGCCACATCCAAGCAGGACGCTTTACGCCGTGTCTACGAAAATAACTGTTGCAGGCGCTGAAATTCCATATTTCCACCACAATAGAGTTGTAAGATTAAATGAAATTTTATCAGAATGCTTTACAAAAATAAAGTTGTACGAAAATTCTTATGCAATTTACAGTTGCTACTCAATGTATGACTAACACTTTGATGCATTTTTTCCGAAAATGGTCATTCAAAGTACATGTACTTTTCTTTGAGACTGTATGATATATATATATATATATATATATATATATACCTGAGAGAATTGAGTGGTGAGCAAAGCACGGCTTCGGGCGGAAATCGAACCCGCGTTTCATCAATACCGGGGACGCGTGCTGCTATCACTACATCACCGAGGCATATTTGCGCCACCACTCATTCTTCATCATGTCTATGTTGACTATCAGCCACCAACCTTTAACAGGTTTGGTCTGGTTATGCGATTTTGCTTTATAAACCAAGTTGTGCTGACAGCCACTGTTAGATTTAATACTGCAAAGTCTAGTTTTTTTTACTGCTTTTTCACAGTGTTGTGATGTTATATATATACCTAGGAGACCTATCTATCTATCTATATATTTATTTATTTATTTGTTTATTTATTTATTTATTTTTTACTTACTTATTTGTTTATATATATATATATATATATATATTGTATGATGCCAAATGTAAATTCGCGAACGTTGGAGCTTTTCTTTTTCAAAACTCGGCCTATGAAATGAGATGATTCGGTACTGCCTTGTTGAAGACTATTCGTCACTTTTGTACTTACTTGCATTCGTCCCTTCCCTCTGTATCTCTCCTCCACGCACTTGTTTTCTTAGTGCCACAGTTTGCGCATTCAGTATATTCGCTCAGGACACTCTAAAAGTAGAAGCATGTAATTTTTCTATTCAACGATACAAAAAAAGAGCGCATTTTCAACGTGACCAATCGCTTTTTAATTACTCCTCTAAGTTTTATAAATTGATCATAGATAAAAGAAGATCCCAGTCTTCATATTAAGTGACATTTCCTAGAGTTGAGGAGATTTCCGTATTTTCGTTAAAACAAAGATTAGGAAAAAATAGACTGCATGAAAGCAAGGTACTTGGCAAGACCATTTTGACGTACTTCTTCACTATAAATTTTGCCACCAGATCGTTGCTAAATAGTAATCATGGATGTTGAAGTTCAGAACTGAGGGTACTTTTAGAGTTTATCCCGACCAAGGTTAAACAGCTGAGAACGTGTCCCATATCTCTACTCAGACGTGCAGAGACTAAATCTTGATAAATTTGCTGAGTCACCTTCGACTACGTCCTCACTAAGAAGGTAGTCATGAAAAACCGTGTAGTAATAAATGTTTCAAAAACATAAAGATTTTCAATTGATCGAGTCCTAAGGAAACGACCATGTAATCGGCTTTCTTAGGTTTTTTGGGATGAATTGCATATAGCCTGCTTTTGGAGTCTGCAAACATTTGATAGATTTGAATATTTCGAGAAAACAAAATCAGAACGCTTACCTTTCATACCTATTGATGTAGAGTGGTGCGCGAAAAACAAGGGGAACTCTGACCCAAATTTCGTAACGTGAAATGAGTGATGTCAAAATGAGCATCGGTAGTGCAACGGTTCAGAACGCGCCCTCGGATAGGATGATTTGTGGGCTCGAGTCGCAGCTGACGCAAAAGTTTTTGCACACCAAATCTGGCCTTAACAATGACCGTTCGGTGGCCAACTGATATATCTATCACTTCAGTGTTGTAATCCTCACAGATGTGTCTGACAAGAATTTTCCGACCATGGACGGACCGAGGGCTAAGTGAGCTTGGGATTCCCGATAGAATAAGGGATCACGCATAGCGATGTTATAGGTAAAATCACACTATATATATAAGCATGCTGTGGAGCTATAAGCTATTACGTTGATTCACCATTCTATAATTTTATCAGCAAATAAAAGCGATGCATCATTTGCGGGAAGCTGGCAAAGACCTTACGCATAGTTGCTCCTTTGCCCTGCGCCACACATCCTTATCTTGCAACTGACAGTACCCTGATGCGTAAGATTATGATAGACGTAAATAGATAGACTCCACTTGGTAGAGACGACTCTTGAATTTGTGGCCCTTATAAAATCATGAGGAAATCATATTGAGCTGTGGTCTATTATCTGTGTTCTACGAAATCATTTTATGCCGTTGCTCATTCTATTCTTCAATATCCTAGTGAATCATTGCCCTCTCCAGTGATGACATTTCTTATCGGAATACTGACCATACTTTGTTTGAATCGATCTGTGCTATTGACAAGAACTGAGAATACTCCAAACGATTCGACTTACAAAAGAAGTGAGCCTGAGCACTTACCGCTCGAGGTGGTCTATTTCCTGGAACACAACATGAATGCCCGCAAGGAAGTGGTCGTGCATTACTTGCGACCTGAAAAAGCCTTTCACAATAAACGACCGTGATTGCAAGGTCACTGGATCTATTCGATATTTTACAACCATTTCATCATTACAGGTAATTAAATTAGATTATATGGAACAGACAAACGGTGATAGAATAAGCCTCTGAAAGTCAAGTTTCTTGCCTAAGAAAAACTGAGATTTGCCTAACTCGAGAAAGAGTTGAGCAACTTTTCGCAGAGTCTGTGTCAAAAATTAACCGACGTCGAGAGTGAGCCTAGCGGAACCATTTATTAGGTCCTTCTTCACGGTATTTTTATCACTCTGCAGATCCCAGTACTTCTGGTATTCATTTTATTGTTGGTCTTTTGCTTCTACGTCGTAGAATGCTGGTTGAGCGAGTCTGCTTGCAGTCTCGGGGATAGCCTGGCTGTGGCGTTCTACAAGGCGTTGTTGTTGACTGCCGGAGAGAATTGGGGGTGAAGCTCAGCTCCAAGCACACCGTAGCAAGCATCCCAATCACTCTGCCACGGCATCCTTATATATATATATATATATATATATATATATCTGCATGCTCACTAGGAGCTGTTTATGTAGACTTATGTCAGGGGGCGTCTGATGTAAGTGGAAGAAGCCAAATAAACATCATTGACGCACCGTGCGGCAAATGGAGCTTGATTGGATTCATTTAGTTCACCAGAGAGTATCATACTTTGAGTAATTTATTTGATATTCAGGTCAGAAATGCGCAATATGAGGACGCGTGTGGCCCATAGATAGAAGTGCTCTATGCTACACCCGTAATCGACCACTTCCCAGGTTCGCCATGCCTTCCATTGCTCCCGAAATAGAGTTGTATGGAACGATAACTACATTGAGCTGATACATCGAGAGGTCATCATGAATCGCATGAGATCAGTGTGCCGGTCACATCATTCAGTGCTTGATAAAGTCCAGTGTATAGCGCATCTCTCTATTAATAGCGAGGGCCTTAGCATCCATCCTTGCATTGAGCAGTTCTGATGCCATCTGATGATCATGCTCATTTTTCTCTTCAGCAATCACTTCTAACTAATCAGCTTAGCTAGGATGAATAGATGGTCAGATTGACATGTACAGTCAGGTTACCAACTACGAGCAAGCAACATTTTATTGTATATTCATTTACCACAAGAAATGGAAGAGAATGAAGAATTATGAATTATGGCTAAAATTTGTACTAACTTACAGGGCACAGCTGGTCATCTGGCTATGAATATGTGAGAGTTTACGGCCTTTAGGGAGTAGAGAAACATGCCCAATGACGTAGAGGGATGTGCGAAACATTTCGTTAGGCGAGACTTGAACCCTCATCTCATTCTATCCGGGAGCATAAGCTCTAACTGGTCGCACTACTGACGCCCGTTTCGCCACCACTAAGGAAACATGACACTGGTAATATCATGGGGGAAAACACGACATGACTCGAATGTATCCGTAAAGGATATGACGTTGAAGAGAGATGATCAAGAAATAGACTGTTTAATGATATCCATCGTGAGAATTAGACCTAATGGCAGCAAATACTTTGTTACAGAACAACTTCGTTCCTTTCTCATGCTCAACCAATCCCGTTGGTGCTCTAGAGGGCTGTCGTATGGGAAAGGAATGATCTAATGGGTTTTTTCTCTTTATAAGGAAACAAATGAAAAACCGACCTCGTTAAATGGAGAAGCAGTTTTCATAAGAGAGTCAGTAAATCCGAAAGCTTAGATTTCTGCCTAAAGCCCCACATAGCCGGTTTTCAAAAAGCCTTTTATAACGCTGTAAATTTCAGAACAAAATTGTGTTTCATAAAACTACATGTTTTATTTGTCTGACTCATATTTCGCTGGACAAAACTTCTTTGTTAGGATGCTAGTACTCATTCGATAGCACAAGATTCGAAAAACTAAAAAACATGTTTGCTTTTTGGAAAAGCTCTTCCGACAGCACTCACGGGTAAAGGGAAGATTTGTGCTTTACACCTCGCCGGGCAGAGCTATTTCCTTGGATTATTAGTAATCAGTCGATAACGTAATTTTTGCCGATTTCAATTCTTGCTTATTTTTTGAAAAAGCCGCTTCTGTGCAATGCGACAGAACAACATGCCAACAGCTAAAGCGCGAATCGATCGATGGTCGCGTGCATCCTGCCATTTCCGCACTCGCTCTGCCCCCTCACCCAATGAATAGCCAAAAAGCATCTTTCGTGAGCCAATCTTATTTTGCCTCTTGCACTGCAAAGTAACGATCGTAGCAGAAAATAAGCACAGCGTTTAAATCAGAAACGATTACGCTATCGAATGAATACTAATAGTCTAAAGAAAGATCTCCCGGGGAGAGATATATGCACGTCTGCAACCCAAGAAGATTATGCCTAAAGTCTCTGGTCTCAAATGGTTACCAACACTCTATGAAAAGTTCCTTTCTAGCGAATGAAATCGGTTTTTCATTTGTTCCGCTATAGTCACAAAGAGCCACTTAATGATTGTCTCACAGAGCATGGATCTGGTGTCTTTCAGCTATCTGAAAAATTGCAACTGTACGAATTTTCTGTCTGATAACCATATCCTTTTGGATTGCTAAAACGCAGTGCAAAGGAAGAGATGGTGGCAATAATATATTTGTACTTAGTTTCATCCGAATTTCTTTGCACTTGAACTAAACTTGCTTAGGTGAGCTTGCGTTTTTTTTTCAACATAAACAGCAAGCATGATGTTTATGAGAGTTTAGTATATCAAACAAAAGTCGCTAACATTTCGGTGCGGTGTGCCGGGTGGAACACGTAATGGAGAGGATGCAGCGGTGGCTGTTGTCGTCCTTTCTGGATGGTTTAGAGGATTATGAAATTCTGTTGTGGAAAAGCTGAAAATATAAGTCCTCGTCTGTGAATTCTTTAGAAATCCCAAAAAATCTTCCAAGAGTATGTTATTAAATTT